TTCTTTCTTGCTCTACATAGTTACAATAAGATGGTTTTTGTCAGTTACTGGGCTTGAACTCAGGGGCTGGGCACTGTCCTTGAGGTTTTTTTCTTGCTCAACACTAGCACTCTACCACTTTGAATCAAGGCTCCACTTCCAATTTTCTAGTGGTTAGTGGCAGTTGGCTTCCAACTGCGATCCTCAGAGCTCAATCTCCTGAGTAGCTAGGATTACAGGCATGAGCCGCCAGTGTACAGCTAGAAGGATTTTTTTTTTGTATATTTGGGAAGTATCAAGGGATTAAGAAAATACATTAACGTGTCTGATGAACATAAAAGATTGTTTTAGTTAAAAAAATTTCATATTATTTAATGTACATATCTGAATGGAATCAAGAAATTTGGGTGGGGTGAAGATATGGGTAAAGGAGGGAAATGGTGGTATTGTCAAAATGCATTGTACCCAGAGCTGAAACGTTGATTTGACTCCAACTACTTAATGATAATAAAGCTTTACATATATATAGAATATCTCAAGGCATTCTTTTCTGAATTATGAGAAGATGTGTAATTTAGCTACTATTTACTCTCTGCTCTAATTCCATACTAACAAATAATTATAAGGGTATGTAACAAGATGGGATATCATGTGGAGTTTCCTTAAGACAGCACAATCCACTTGCATTATATTCTGTGGAAATGAACACTGATATTCTCTTTTATACAATTTATTTAATTTTTATTATCTCTAAATAGTTATACAAAGGAGTTTCAATTAAGAATGCCAACTTATGAGTACAATGCACCTTGAATAGATAGAAATATTTGGTTATGCTCTCTAGCAATAAACAACTGATACTGACACTGAATAAATATTCCATAAGACACATTTTGAGCTTAAACAGTGACAGCATGCACACTATGTTTGAAGTGTTTTATTTCCAAGTTTTAGCTTGAATCTTTTGTATCATGAGAAAAGTCAGTCTTGATAATCTAAGGTTTATTATGGTCAGTGAGTAATTGGACTCAAAACTCTTTGAAGTGGTATATAAACACAATGGAATTCTATGCCTCCATCAGAAAGAATGGCATTGCCCCATTTGTTAGGAAATGGAAAAACTTGGAAAAAATTATATTAATTGAAGTAAGCCAGGCCCAAAGAAACATAGGTCCCATAGTTTCCCTTATTTGCAATAACTAGTATATGTCTGAGACAAGTGAAAAGGTCAGATAAGTTGATGTTAGGTGAAATGAACCCTAAGATAAGTATTAAAAAGTTTTTTTTCTTTCTTGTGATTATTTCTAACATATTTATAAGATGATTTCTTTGTTGTTTTGTATGTCCATCCCCCACGGTATGCTTTCATTGTATTTGATGTTGGTTTAATTTGTGGAGGGGAAGGGAAAAAACAAATTGTTCAAACAGGGATACAGGTGACCCATTGCAACAATGAGATGTACAAGTCGTTATGTCAAAAAACGAACTTTACAATATTGTGGAGGGAGAGATGGGAAGGGATGGGAAGGGGAAACAAAGGAGGGGGAAACAATACTTGATAAGAAATGTACTCATTACCTTGCTCATGTAATTGTAGCCCCTCTGTACGGTATTTTTACAATAAAAAATAAATAAAAAAAAACTCTGAAGTGATGAGACATTCTTAGCTAAGTAAGCATGGGGATACAAGAAGTATCCATTTGTCATTTATGGTGCAAATGTTTAATGGATGCATCTTTTACATAGAAAATAGTAAATGGTAGTGTGAAATGTAAGATAATGTACAGAGAAAACAAAAATGTTAGTATTTTAATAGACTGAACAATCTAAGTGGATCAAATAGACTAGACATTACACCATTTTATTTACTTTGTTTATAGTGAAAACCAAATGATCCGGTTTAAAAATAACCCTTGGGAGCTTTATTTGTTCTAATCATCTTCATTAGAACTTTGTTTCTCTAAAATTAATTACAGAAATAGAGTTCTTAATATTGTAAAACAAAATAGTTTTAAATTAAGTTCATCTAATAATTTAACTGACAGTATTGGAGTATATGAAGTCAGCTAATTGGTTGACGTTAAAGAAACCATTATTTATTTTTTATTTATAATCCACACTATTCATTCTTGTTTATTCCTACCTCTAAGGTAAAATATCTATGAAGTAGGGCTGGGATGGTGGCTCAGTGGTAGAGTACTTGCCTTGCATGCACAAGGCCCTGGGTTCAATTCCTCAGCACCACATAAACAAAAAGAAAAAAGCTGGAAGTGGCGCTGTGGCTCAAGTGGCAGAGGGCTAGCCTTGAGCTGAAGAGCTGAGGGACAGAGCCCAGGCTTGGAGTTCAGGCCCCACAACTGGACCCCAAAAAAAATCTATGAAGTATTGTGTTATATTTTTTAAAGATTAATAAAACCATAAGATATAAAGATATTGAGAATATTTCAGAGAATATTGAGAATATTTGAATGAATCAAAGCCAGCAATATAAATCATGATAGTTAGTCAGAACTTCTTCTATTCTAGGCTAAAAAATAGAACGAATTTTAGTTTTGCCATTTCTTTCTACTATATAAAACTACATGTGTAAGTAGGAAGATTTCACTCTATTAACATTATATTTTTAATGTATGTTTTCATGTGAGATCTATAGAAGAGAATTGAGGTACATAGTAGATAGTACCATTTACTTCACTGGTATTCAATCATTAGAATTAAGAACCCCATCTAGTAATTTTTACATAATTTTTTGCATAGTCGTTCACTGTTGTTTATGTAGCCAATGTGATTACTCAATATTTTAGAAGTATTTCTTTACACATTCTAAATAAATAAGAGAAATAGAAAAACACCAATTGGCAATACCACATTAATAGTTGCAACAGACAGGAGCTATTGATAATTCTTCATATTCCTGGGATAAAGTATGAGGAGAAATAGGATGTTCACAGTCTCATAGCATCTCCTAGGAGATACTTACTATTCCAAATAAAAACAACACAGCAAGAAACCCAACCAATATCACAGTAATAGAAGGAATAAAGATAAGCATCATGAGGTGAGACATGCAAAATCTGTGGACCTATTGATATGCTATCAGTAGATTATAAGATTTCTCCTACTGCTCCTCACTCTATTCATTAGAAAGTGTCAGACATGCTCAATTGAGGGACCTTCTACAAAACATGCTAGCGTTCAGATGTGAGATGTGCGGAAGGAAGAATAAATGGGGAAGAGAGAAGAGAAGGGAAGGGAAAAGGAGGGGAAAGGGGAAGAGAGGAATGAAGCTTCGGCAGAGGTTCGGAAAAGACTAGTAGCAAACTGGGGAGCTTTGAATAAAATCTATAAATCTTTTATTACATTGATTGTGTGAATTTGATGATTTTAACATTCTTATTACAGGAGAATGGAAGATAGGTACCAAGAGTCTATATATACCACATTTGTGAATTTTAAAAGAAAAAGAAAAAAAATCATCTTAAGAGTCCTTAAGACTTTGCTAAAATTTTGCTGACTATGACTGAATTCTGCTTTTATAAAATAATCTGGGCCAAAAAATTTATTAAGAGTAAATATTGTCAACTAGACAACTTACCAAAATAGGTAGATATAGTCTACTTTGGGCAACTTGATACAGACAGCTGCCAAGTGTAGCCTACTGAATCAGAGTAATTATAGCACATTACAATAAGATAAATGAATGAGAAGCTAGACTACTATTTACAATGATATCTAGAAATTGTATGTAGACAACTAATAATCTTTAATTCAAATTTGAAAGACAGATAAAAGGCCCACAAAGTACAGTGAGTTCCTAAAAATAAATGCTTGTGTGGATTATAATAGACAAAGCAGTAAAGCACAAACTGTAAGTAATTACATTAAAAAACCTTCTTAATCTGATTCAGTGTACTATCCCCTTGGAGAAAGTTACTAATTGATTGGTAATGCTAGTACAAATAGAGAAAAGACAGCTGGATTTAAGAAAGATTAATAACATTTTTTATAATATTTGGGGGAAAGAAGGAAAAACACTCACAGAACATATGGACAATTTTATTTTGATAAGTTTAATTACTAATTAAATTGTCATGGTCAATAAGTATCACCCTGGATAAAACGTGTAAAGAGGCAAGCTGGGAAGGTGGCTCAGTGGTAAAGTACTTGCCTTGTATGCACCATATAAGCAGAAAAGGCCAGAAGTGGTGCTGCGGCTCAAGTGGTAAAGCCCTAGCCTTGAGCTGAAAAGCTGAGGGACAGTGCCTAGGCCCAGAGTTAAGGCCCCCGACTGACAAAAAAAAAAGTATAAAGAGGGCTGGGAAGGTAGCTAAGTGGTAGAGCTCTTGCCTTGCATGCATAAGGCCCTAGGTTGGATTCCTCAGCACCACATAAGCAGAAAAAGCTGGAAGTGGTGCTGTGGCTCAAGTGGTCGAGTGCTAGCCTTGAGCTGAAGAGCTGATGGACAGTGCCCAGGCCCAGAGTTCAGGCCCCACGACTGACAAAAAAAAAAAAAAAAGAAAGAAAAGAAAAAGGGCATTTTCCTCAGCCGAATTAAATGTACAGGGTATTTGTCAGTCATACAGTCTTTGGACAGAAACTCAATGGTGCAGAGAGCTGCTCCAAAATCAGTCCTCTTCTCTTGGCCACAGAATCCTGACTACCATGAAACAAAACAGCTTACTGAGAAAAAGGATATGTGATACTAAGATTGTGGTCAGATGCTGCCAGAAACAGGAGGAACCAATAAGGCTCCTTCTCTTGGGGGAGACTTCTCTAGCATCTCCTTTGACAGCTTCTCTAGCCTTAGAAATGGCTGACATAGACTGTATATAGAGTTATTACAGCTGACTTAAGGCACTTTCGACATTTCACATATATATATTTGTTCATCTGTGCAATAAGATATTTGCTGTCTCTTTAAAAATGTGGAGTTGTGCAAATTTTGATTTTGTTATTTCTTGGTTAATTTAGCTAGCATCAACTTATGAATCACAGCCCAAAAAGTCCAAGAACAAACTCACCGATGCTCGGGTAACCAGGTGTGGAAGGATCTCCTCCAGGGTTCAGGGTCACCATGAAAGTGTCATGGTTAAGATTTTCAGTCTTTGGTAAATCACAAGGATCAATATATAGAAGAACACCTCCAAATCCAGCCTTTTCCAACAAGGAAATCTAAAAGGGAAATAAACTATTAAAACTATTATCATATACATTGCAAGTTCAGGTATTACCACTCACAAATGTGGTTTAAATAGGATGATTCTTGTTTATTATTGTTATTAAGAAGACAATTATCCCATGCAAAGATTTTTTTTATTACTTATCTCTGCCCTTCCCTCCTGTAGGTTCTATGATATGTATAATAGTTAGTCAGCATTCTCACATTGTTTATGTGAAATATCACTCGCTAGCTCATGGAATTTCTCATCATTTCTTTTGTAATTGTCCAAGTAGATTTAGACTTTCTACTTCCATGAAATTGAGAGAGCATCAAAAATATGCAAGGCCCTACAGTAAAAACAGTGGTTCTGATCATCTCCCTGCCTTTCCCTAAAGCAGGAATCACAGCAGCATTGTGATACATTTCCTCCAGGGCTAAGCCTGTCAAGTTAGTTACTAAAATGAAGAAACCATTTCCTATTGTTTGGCAAACAGTCAATGTTCTGAACCTTCCAGATGTCCTAGCATATCAGTCATCATATTCTCTACCATGGATGCTCTGCCAGACCTGACAGCCAGGTTAATAAGGGATTGTCTCATAACCCCAGGAGGAGCCTAGGGATCAGCTTCCATCTATCTTGTCCTTAAACGTTTAGAAATAGTGCTGGGAAGGTGGCTCAGTGGTAGAGTGCTTGCCTCTCATGCATGAGGCCCTGGGTTTGATTCCTCATCACCACATACACAGAGAAAGCCAGAAGTGGGAGCTATGGCTTAAGTGATACAGCTCTATCCTTGAACTGAAGAGCTCAGAGACAGCGCCCAGTCCCAAAGTTCAAGCCCCACAACTGACACACACACACAAAAGAAATTAGAAATAGCCCAGCTTACCTCTGAGAAGGCATTTTTAATATAAAGACACCACTTCACTCTGTTTTTTATCTTTTTTTTTTATTTTGGTCAGTCATGGGGCTTGAACTCTGGGCTTGGGCACTGTCCCCCCTCTGTTTTTAGTAAGTGTGCAATATGTAACAGAACAGATGAACTTAACCTTCTTTTGTATTCCCTGTTCTAGCTTGGTAAACTCTTATTATTTTTGGAAAGCATCTTAGCATGACTCACCTGATATGCGGAACAATAATCATGATTTGCTGATTCTATTTGCTTCCCATGAGAGAGTAAAATAAATTAGATGATATTAAATAAGAGTAAGATGAAAGGTTGAATAAAGACAGCTACTGCTGATAGTGTGGCTTAACTTACCACCTATATCTCACTTCCTAATTATTGTTTATATTGTTTAGTGAGTTTTGCAATATGTAAGAAACAGGGGTCCTTGTGGCCTTGGATAGACCATTAAAGAAGGTAAGGGTCGCCAGGCACCAGTGGCTCACGCCTGTAATCCTAGCTACTCCAGAGGCTGAGATCTGAGGATCTTGGTTCAAAGCCAGCCCGGGCAGGAAAGTCCGTGGAACTCTTATCTCCAATAAACCACTAGGGAACCAGTGGCTCAAGTGGTAGAGCGCTCGCCTTGAGCTGAAGAGCTGAGGGACAGTACCCAAGCCCAGAGTTCAAGCCTCACGACCAACCAAAAAAAAAAAAAGGTAGGGGTTATGCTAATTTTCTCTATCATTGCACATTCTGGATTGACTAAACAGGCTTGGAGTAGGCATTGAAGGGTACTGGTAGCCAGGTGCCAGGGGCTCATGCCTGTAATCCTGTTTACTCAGGAATCTGAGCTCTGAGGATCAGGTTCAAATCAAGCCATACTAAGAAAGTCTGTGGAAACCCTTATCACCAATTAATTATTAAAATAATGCAGAAGTGGAGCTATGGCTCAAATGGCAAAGCCTTGAATGAAAATAAAAAGAAAGAAAAAAAACTAATGGACAGTGTTCAGGCCCTAGTTCAAGCCCCAATACTGGCACACATAACACACACAAAAAGAGTACTGTAAAGAAGAAAGTACATGAAACAGGTGTTAACACCACAGCTATTCTTAAAGAAAATGGAGCTTGAGGAAAATTCTTAGTATCCATTTCTACTGGAAACAAATAGACAAGCATATCAATTTACATACATCACGACTCTAACTGCATAAAGGAAACAACTGAAAATGAAAACCACCTAAAAACAGAATACACACACACTACACTAACAGCATTTTCCTCTCCTTTAAACGTGTTTTGTACTTTACAATTTGGGATGTAAGGTAAAACTTATACTTTATAACAAAAATTTGAATAGGTAAGATTGAGAACCTAAATAAGGTGTAGCTGACTAATGACTCCAATTTGAATTCTTTAACAAAAAACTTAGATTGAATAATTCTCTCTGTTTTCTAATGGAGAACAAGAAAGAATTTAAGGGGAAAATAGGGATGATGAAAGGGAAAATGAGCAAAAGGAATATGAAAAAGAGGGCCAGATTTAAGATTTACTCTTTCAAAGTCTACCTTGAGTCCCAAGGAAGGGCATCAAATGGTCCACATGCTATAATAGCGTGCCTGGTGTGTGTGTGTGTGTGTGTGTGTGTGTGTGTGTGTGTGTGTGTGTGTGTGTGTGAATGAAGACTCAAAGCTTCTCATTTCACTTGACCTTTTCACTTATAGCTGGCTCCCTATCACTTGAGCTGCACTTCCACATGTGTTACTTTTGTTGTTGGTGGTGGTGGTGATAAAAATTGGAGATAAGTAAAGAATATTGTACAATTTTCAGCTTGAGTTGGGTTTAAACCACAAACCTCCGATTTCAGCCTCCCAAGTAGTTAGCACTATAGTTATGAACTATTATCATCCAAACTGAAATAGTTATTATTTAAAAGAAAAGTTTTATTTTGTAAGTTCTACTTACTACAGGAGAATATATAAAGAAAAATATAAACAGGTCTAGCAAAAAATGTGTTAAATATAAACATGTCTAGCAAAAATTGTTTTGAATATTAAAAATTGGTTTCTTGGTATTGAAATGATTCATGTGCTCAGACAAAATGATACAGACAAAAAATCAATTTTGTAGATGGGCACCGGTGGTTCACGCCTGTAATCCTAGCTACTCAGGAGGCTGAGATCTGAGAATGGCGGTTCAAAGCCAGCCGGGGCAGGAAAGTCTGTGAAACTCTTATTTCCAGTAAACCACCAGAAAACCGGAAGTGGTGCTGTAGTTCAAGTGGTAGAGCGATAGCCTTGAGGTGAAGAGCTGAGGGACAGTGCTCAGGCCCAGAGTTCAATTTCGTGGAACAATCTCCAAAGAGTAGTAGTTACATACAAGTACACAAAACATTCTACTAACAATACATACACACTTGCCTATATTAATAAAGGCATTTTATTTTTAATACATGTGTAAATTATAAATAAATAATTTTACATCATATATGTAGTATATCACATATATTATATCATAATATCATATATATGTGATATAAATAATATGATACTACAAGGCCAGAAATTATTTAATTCTGCTAGTTGTACAGATAATTTTTATTTGTTTTATATTATACTACAATAAAATCTTTGTAACTAAATCTTAGCATAAATGCCTTTTTTTTTTTTTTTGGTCCAGTCGTGGGGCCTGAACTCTGGGCCTGGGCGCTGTCCCTCAGCTCTTCAGCTCAAGGCTAGCGCTCTACCACTTGAGCCACAGCGCCACTTCTGGCTTTTTTCTTTTTGCTTATGTGGTGCTGAGGAATCGAACCCAGGGCCTCATGCATGCAAGGCAAGTGCTGTACCACTGAGCCACCTTCCCAGCCCCATAAATGCCTATTTTTAAGAAACATTATCATAGGTGCAATAGATAGGTCAAAATATTCTTTTATATATGATGTTGCAACATATATATCTATATATATATGTTAGTACAGTAGTTCTCTTATTTATGCTTTTAATTTCTATAGTGACAGTCTCTCTTTTTAATTATTGTCCACAAATATGACGTGGTAATTTCTAGAAATAAAAAATCCATATGCTTGAAGCACTCTGTGTACAACACATTCATAACCTATATGTGATTATTCATTAGTCACAATCTTCTTCCTGGTTATTAGACCAAGTTTCACAGTATTGAGGTGCTTGTGTTCATGTCCCTGTGTCACAGTGCCTCCATCATTCAGTTCATCTCCTCCCATGAGCATTGGTCATCTCAGTTCATGAAGAGAAGAGTGAATGCAGTGCAACAGGTATGTTGAAAGAAACCATATTCATATACATTTTGTTCTACAGAAATTCCACCTTTTGTTGATAGATCACATATAGTTTAGTCTAAGCATTGTAAAATTCAATAGATGAATGAATAAATGAAAAATCAAGGCTTATGACATGGCTCAAGTGGTAGAATACCTGCTTAGCAATTTCTAGTCACTGGCACAGCTTTGTCTTAGAAAAAAATTATGTTAAGTGAATAAACCAGATCCAAAGAAACATAGGTTGCTTGGTTTCCCTCATTTATTGTAACTAGAGCCTATAAATCTGCAAGTAAACACACTGGATGGTAAAATACCACAGTGAGACCAAAGGAGGAGATTTTTAGGAGAGGATCACAAAGCCTCAATAGATATGTGCATATGATCATATAAAATGCTACACATAAAAATGAATGAGATTTTTCATTGCTTTTTTCATTTTAATTGTATTTCTCCTTTGTTGCTGTTTTTGTTTTCTGTACTTTTTGTCTTATATGTAAATTTTATCTATTTAGGGGAGAGTAAGGGTGGAGGAGAGGAATGGTGGAACAATGGGTGAACAAATGTGCTAGTGATACTCACTAGACACTGTGTTGAGGAAGTATACATGTGCAGGGGTAACACTGTTCAAAAAGAAATGTTCTCATTGCCTGATTTATAGAAATGTACTCCCTCTGTATATCATATTTAAAATAAAACTAAGACTAAAAAATAAGTAAAACAAAAGAAATTAACTACTTCTTAAAAACTGTTTTTAAGACTTCAGGGTCATATCTCTGTTCCCTGTATAACGGAAACCATTTTTATACAAGGAAAACACTGACATACATTGA